GTGAGCTGAGATTGCCACTGCACTCTAGCCTGGGTAACAGAGTGAGACTCCCTCTCCTCTCAAAAAATAAAAATAAATAAATAAAATTTAAAAAAAAATAGGCTGGGGCCGGGCGCGGTGGCTCAAGCCTGTAATCCCAGCACTTTGGGAGGCCGAGGTGGGTGGATCACGAGGTCAAGAGATCGAGACCATCCTGGTCAACATAGTGAAACCCCGTCTCTACTAAAAATACAAAACATTAGCTGGGCATGGTGGCGCGTGCCTGTAATCCCAGCTACTCAGGAGGCCGAGACAGGAGAATTGCCTGAACCCAGGAGGCAGAGGTTGTGGTGAGCCGAGATCGCGCCATTGTCCTCCAGCCTGGGTAACAAGAGGGAAACTCCGTCTCAAAAAAAAAAAAAAAAAAAAAAAAATAGGCTGGGTGTGGGGCTCACACCTGTAATCCCAGCACTTTGGGAAGCCAAGGTGGGTGGGTCACCTGAGGTCAGGGTTTTGAGACCAGCCTGGCCAGCATGGTGAAACCCCATCTTAAGGAGAAAAAAAAAAAAAAAAGGAAAAATAAATAAATAAATAAATAAATAGGCCGGCTGCAGTGGCTGACACCTGTAATCCCAGCACTTTGGGAGGCTGATGCGGGCACGTCACCTGAGGTTGGGAGTTCAAGACCATCTGACTAATGTGGAGAAACCCCATCTCTACTAAAATATAAAATTAGCTGGGCCTGGTGGTGCATGCCTGTAATCCCAGCTACTTGGGAGACTGAGGCAGGAGAATCACTTGAACCTGGAGGTGGAGGCTGCAGTGAGCCAAGATCACGCCAGTATAGTCCAGCAACAAAAGTGAAACTTGGTCCTAAAATATATATAAATATAACCTGGTTAAGTGTTTTTGTTTGTTTGTTCGTTTTGAGGCAGAGTTTAACTCTGTCCTCCAGGCTGGAGTGCCTTGCCCTGGGGTTACAGGCCACGCCCCCAAGGACATAAAACAAGATGGAAGCCTGCAGCACAGTTTATTAGGGACCATACAGAAAGACACAAAGCACACCAGGTTGGCTACAGCTTAACAGCTTAAGACCAACCTCATAATTTTTTTTTTTTTTTTTTTTTTTTTTTTTGAGACGGAGTTTCTCTCTTGTTGCCCAGGCTGGAGTGCAATGAATAGCACAATCTCGGCTCTCTGCAACCTCCACCCCCTGGGTTCAAGCGATTCTCCTGCCTGAGCTTCCTGAGTAACTGGGATTACAGACGCCCACCACCATGCCCGGCTACTTTTTGTATTGTTTTTAGTACAAATGGGGTTTCACCATGTTGGCCAGGCTGGTCTCAGACTCAGACCTCAGCCACCCAAAGTGCTGAGAATACAGGCGTGAGCCACAGCACCCCACCATAAATCCTTTTTCACAATTAAAACTCTACAGAAAATATAAATGGTGATCCCCAGTTCCCAGCCTAGCAAAACACCATTAAAAAAGAAAAAAATCCTTGCTTAAAAGTCAACTTCTGACCCGGTGGGGAGAAGGAAAGAAAAAAGTTCAAAAATGCGTGTAGCCGGGCGCGGTGGCTCACGCCCGTAATCCCAACACTTTGGGAGGTGGAGGCGGGTGGATCACGAGGTCAAGAGATGGAGACCATCCTGGTCAACATGGTGAAACCCCGTCTCTACTAAAAATACAAAAAGTTAGCTGGGCATGGTGGCGCGTGCCTATAATCCCAGCTACTCAGGAGGCTGAGGCAGGAGAATTGCCTGGACCCGGGAGGCGGAGGTTGCAGTGAGCCGAGATCGCGCCATTGCACTCCAGCCTGGGTAACAAGAGCGAAACTCCGTCTCAGAAAAAAAAAAAAACAAACAAAAATGCGTGTGCAGGATCACGCCAAGCGCTTTGGGAGGCAGCGTGGGCAGATCACCTGAGGTCGGGAGTTAAGAGACCAAGCTGGCCAACATGGTGAAACCTCGTCTCTACTAAAAATACAAAACTTAGCCAGCATGGTGGTGCACGCCTGTAATCCCAGCTTCTCGGGAGGAGGCTGAGGCAGGAGGATCGCTTGAACCCAGGGAGGCCAGATCAAGCCAAAGCACTCCAGCCTGGGTGACAGAAAACCGCTGCTCACCCATCCCTCCAGAAGTAGGAAGGAAAAGACCACAGAGACCAAGGCAGACCTTCCCGACCCCCGGGAACAACGGGGTTGGGGTCATGGTTTCCCCTGCCCTCCCCCACAGAAGATGAAAAGGCTTAGAAAGAGAGGAAAATAAACTTCTTGGTTTGCATCTCACCCTTTCTCAAGCCCCATGTTGCATGCCAAACTGTTGTAGGACTTTCTCCTTATTTCAGCTAAAAGCCAGGTCCTTGTCACGTGGCCATGAGAAATTAGGTTCAAAGACACTTTGAGCGTGAGAAAAATGGAATTTATTGGGGAAAAAAAAGAGAACCAGAGACTCTCAGCAAAGTGAGAGTCCTGCTGTTTTCCAGGCCTCGCAGATTGAATGCCAGGTTCCACCCCGGAGGCCACGCTCGTCCCCCCTGCAAAGGGTGGGAGCTTCTGCGACTCCACCCAGTTATTCCAGTACTTAGGCCGGTGGGAGCTTCTCCCGGACCCCTTTAATACTTGGCTGTCTCACTTGGATTACAGGCGTAGGCCACAGTGCCCAGCAGACTCGTTTCCTCCCTTAAAAAAATTGGCCTGGTGCAGTGGTTCACACCTGTAATAACAGCACTTTGGGAGGCTGAGATGGGTGGATCACCTGAGGTCAAGAGTTCGACACCAGCCTGGCCAACATGGTGAAACCCGGTCTCTACTAAAAACACAAAAAATTAGCCAGGTGTAGTGTGGGGCACCTGTAATCCCAGCTACTTGGGAGGCTGGGCCAGGAGAATCGCTTGAACCCAGGAGGCAGAGGCTGCAGTGAGTTGAGATCACACCACTGCACTCCAGGCTGGGCAACAGACTGAGGCTCCATCTTAAAAAAAAAAAAATCCAAAAAACGTGTTTAAAATTTTTTAATTTTATAGAGATGAGGTGTCACTACGTTGCCTAGGCGGGTCTGGAACTTGTGAGCTCAAGTGATCCTCCCACCTTAGCCTCTCAAAATGCTGGGATTACAGGCATGAGTTACCACAACTGGCCTAGCTGACTCACTTTTAAAGTTAAGTAACTCGCCGGGTGCGGTGGCTCACACCTGTAATCCCAGCACTTTGGGAGGCCGAGGCGGGTGGATCACGAGGTCAAGAGATTGAGACCATCCTGGTCAACATGGTGAAATCCCATCTCTACTAAAAATACAAAACATTAGCTGGGCATGGTGGCGCGTGCCTGTAATCCCAGCTACTCAGGAGGCTGAGGCAGGAGAATTGCTTGAACCCAGGATGCGGAGGTTGCGGTGATCCGAGATTGCGCCATTGCACTCCAGCCTGGGTAACAAGAGCGAAACTCCATCTCAAAAAAAAAAAAATTAAATTAAATTAAAAAGTTAAGTAACTCTAACAATTTCTAAGGCCCTATATGTCACAACCTAAGTGAAAAGCTATTATTCTTTGCCACAAATACAAGACGCCTGTGAAAACACCACAGTTTTCTCCGGAAGGCTCCTGCAAGGCCCAGTCTCTAGTTTGGAAAGTTCCAGGAGCAGGGTGGGGAACCCTGTCCTTTAACGCAGGGCCCCAGCATCCAGCCCCCCTCAGCCCCTGGCCGGGCCACACCTCCTGGCATCAAGCTCTCTGTGAGGGCACTGTCCAGACCCTGGAAGCTCCTGCTTCTACCCAGCACCAGGTGTGGGCCCGGGCTGGACTACCAAGACAAAGCCGATTCACTCCCAGTCCAGCCCCTTCAGGCCTCCCAGCGGCGGGAGGGGCAGAGAGGTCCCTGTAGCCTCCACAGGGAACTGGGCCCCCAGGACTGCCCAAAGCCTGCCTAGAGGCAGCGCTGGGCCAATCCCTTTAGAATTTGTGCCCTTTCTGGTTCCACAGAGGATTGGGGAAGGCCTGCAATTAGAATGCGAATGGGCCGGGCCTGGAGGCTCCCGCCTATAATCCCAGCATTTTGGGAGGCCTAGGCAGGGGGATCACCTGAGGTCAAGAGTTCAGGACCAGCCTGGCCTATGGTGAAACCCCATCTCTACTAAAAATACAAAAATTATCCGAGTCATGGCACCAAAAAAGAAAAAAATACAAACATTAGCCGGGCGTGGTGGCGCGCGCCTGCAATCCCAGCTACTCCGGAGGCCGGGGCAGGAGAATCGCTTGAACCTGGAAGGTGGAGGTTGCAGTGAGCGGAGATCGCGCCACTTCACTCCGACAGAGCGAGACTCGGTTTCAAAAAAAAAAAAAATTACAAAAACGCGAATGAAGGCGTGGGCGCCCATCAACAGCAGGCTGGGTGGGGCGAGGCGGCCGCCGCACCACACGCGGCAGGGCCCGTTGCTCCCGTTAGCGGCGCGCCAGCGCGCCCGGGCCTCGGGAAGCCGGCGCGGTTCTGGGCTGGTCACTGCTCCGCACCCACGAGCACCGGCCCTGACACCCCCTAGAAGGGCCCATTGTTCCCGCCTCCCCGGCCCCGCGCGCCTCCGTCCCGCGGCCCAGAGAAAGCTCCCGAGCTGGGAAGCGCCCTGGGCGGCGGCGAAGGCAGCGGCCGCTCCCGGCTCCAGCAGCCCAGTACCCCGCGCCGCCCAGAGCCCCTCACGCCCGGGAAAGAGCCCAGACAACGTGCGAATGGGGTCGTGGTCTGGGCGCAGGGGACTTGCGGTGGAGATGTGTACGAGAAGGGTACGAAGGTCCCGGGGGCGCCGCCCCCGCCGCCCGCCCCGGCTTCGCTGCCGTCCACCAGCACTCGCACTCCGGCCTCACCTGGCGCCGACTCGCACGAGCCCACGTAGGGCCACGGGAGCCCGCCGGGGTGCCAGGCGCCGTCCCCCCACCCCGCCCCCTCGCGGCGCAGGCAGCGGCGGTTGCTGCGGCCCCTTTAAATCCGGGCCGCCCCGCCCTGCGCCGTCGACTCCGCGGCGGCCCCAGATCCAGGCCTCAGATCCAGGCCGGGCCGCGGCTCTCGCCACCCAGCCCAGCCCAGCCCGGCCCGGCCCGGCCCAGCCGCGGAGGCGAGGCCGCCAGTGTCCCGCGCCCCTGCGGAGCGGCCGGCGCTCTGCCCAGTCCGGTCCCCATCCCGGCCTAAGCGCGACCCCGCCCGGCCCCGGGTCCCCCGCCCCTCCCTGCCCCGGGGCCGGGGCCCCCGCCGCCGCCGCCGCCGCCGCCGCCTCTCAGCCCCTGCGCCCCGGCCCCGGTTCCCCGGGCCATGCGGCCTCGGCCCCGCGAGCGCCCGCCGCGCACCAGAGGAGATGAGGCTCCGCAATGGCACCTTCCTGACGCTGCTGCTCTTCTGCCTGTGCGCCTTCCTCTCGCTGTCCTGGTACGCGGCGCTCAGCGGCCAGAAAGGTGAGCGCGCCCCCCGCCCGGCCGGCCCGGCCCGCACCTGGCGCACCTGGGCGTCGGCGGCGGGAGCGGGCCCGGCGGTGGCCGCGGGAGGCGGCCGGAAGCCGACGCAGGCGCCCCTTCCCCGCCCAAGCGGCGCGGAGCACGCCCCTCCCACCGTCCCCCACTTGTTTGCTGCTGGAGCCGCGGTGTCCCCCTCGGGCCCGGGCCGCGCCAGCCCGCCCCGCGCCAGCCCCGCCCGTGGGTGCCCCGGACCAGCCTCAGCGGGCGCGGCTGTCCCGACGCCGGACTGGTGGCTCCCACCCGCAAGCTAGGGGCCCGTGGGGTTCCCAGAGAGGGGCAAAGACGCAAGGTCACATAGGTGGCTGTGACCGGGGGTCCCGGGACGGGCAGGAGCTGGGGTGGCGTAAGGGACACAGGCGCGAGGACACCCCAATCCGCCTCCCGCTGCCCGGCGCCGGCCTGGGCGACCCCGGCGTGACACAAGGTCCCGGAAAGCCTCGGCAGCGTCCGGCCTATGGCAGGGCGGGCGGGAGGGAGGTGTCCTGAGTCAGCCCGGCCCAGCGGCCCTGCGCTCCTGTGCGGCCCCCCGCCCGCTCCCCGCGCTTCCCTGGCTGGACCCCTTCCTTCGCGTCTGCCTAGCGCTCTTGCAGGCGGAGGTTGCGGACCAATCCCCACCCTGTCCGGGCCTTGGCGGTGGTGGGGCCGAGTGGGGCTTGAGCCATCGGAGGCGCTGCTGCCTCGGTCGGGAGGTGCCGGGAAAGCGGCGTCCTGCCCGCCCGCCTGTTGGACGCCTAAGCAGGCTGAAGCCAGCTGCCCCTCGGCCTCCCTGCCACCTGCTTCCCTGTTCCCCTGTCCCGGAGCACCACCCCAGAGAGGCTGGGGAGGAGGGCGGGAGGGGGACCTGCAGCTATCCGGATCCTCCGAGCCCCAGCTACCCCCGCCGAGCTCTGCCAGCGCGCCCCCCTGCCGCACTGGTTCTGGCAGGGCAGCGGCCTGGGCTGGCGTTGGGGCTCCAGGACCTGAAAGGCATCACCCAGGGACTCTGCAGGGAGCCTGCCTGGCACAGGGGAGGGATGGCTGGGGCAGAGGTCCCGGTGGTGGGGTATATTATCAAGGGAGGACATGGCTAGGGCAGAGTTCTCTGTAGGTGTCTCACCTGGGGAAGGACCTTCCGGGCCCTTGGCAGGGTGGCTATAAAAGCAGACTGGCAGGAAGGCCTAGGTGGGGCCTATCTGAAGGGCTGGGGCACACTCTTCAAGTTGTGGGGAGAGCCATGAGCCCTTGCTCCTTGTTTTCAGCCAGTGTGTGCCTCCTACAGCAGCTGCATGCCCCCCGGTTGGTGTCAGGAGCCGCCTCTGCAAGCCTGGCTCACCATGGGGACCCAGTCTCCAGGACACCAGAGTGAGGGAGAGGCACTGGCTCCATGGGACCCACTGTACCTGGGGGGCATCTGGGAGGCTGGCTCTGAGGGCCTGGGGAGCAGGAAGCATTTAGATGCAAGGGGCCCGGCCCCTGGGGCATGGAAGCCTAAGAATCCTGAGGCATGGGTAGGGGGGTGACCTTGGCCTGCCTTGTCGAGGAGCTGTCACGTGTTTCTGTGGTGACCCAGTAGGACCAGGTCTTTCGAGGCCACAAGAAAAGCTAGGAATCCAGCCTATTATGTGAACCTATCTCATTGTCACATGTAGACAATCTGTCTTAACCCCTGGTGAAGCCAGACTTAGCTGGTCTGAGGCCATATTGGAACCTGGCCTCTAGTTTGCAGCCAGCGGGGGTCCAGGAACTTGAGGGAAGGACCCAGGATATTGAATCTGCAGGGAAGGAAGGAGGTGGGCCGGAAACCAGAAAGGAAGGGCAGCAGGTGAGGGTGGCATCCTGGAAGCAGTGGTGGGTCGCAGTGGGGCTTTCCAGGGTCAAGCCCAGGAAAGCCTATTAGAGGCAAGATGGACCCTGGAGAAGGGTTTGGGCCCAATTTCCTATGTAGCCAGTGAAGCAGCTCTGCCAGCACTCAAACTGTGGCTCTTGGCCAAGCACCTGCTGAGGATCTGCCCAAGGAGGCAGACCCTTGGGGGTGACTCAGGGTTTCAGCCACACAGCACTCCCAGCTTTCAGGCTGTCCTCCTCCCCAGGCCTGGACCTGAGCAATCATGGACACCCTCCTTGACTCCCAAGGAGGTTGCAAGGTCTGGAGAAGAGGTAGACACCTGCCACCCCCATGAATGGTGACAGCAGACCATTAACGGGCATGACATCTGCCTATGCCCCTCTGAGCCGGTTCCTTTTCCCTAAGTACAGGACACAAAGGTGGTGCCCCATTTTGGCTAATCTTTCCCCAACCAAGAGGGAAGCAGGGGAAACTATGGCTTGCTGGCCTCAGGGTGTCCTAATGACTTGCCTCCAGGGGAGAGTGAGTGGCACAGCCTCCAGGCCTCATTGCTGCTGCTCTTAACATTGCGGCCCGCTGTTCCAGCCCTTCTGGGGCCAGCCCCTTCACACCTTCCTACTCTCTGGGGCAGAAAGGTTATGGCAGGGGCTCCCAGGCTGGCCCCTCTCACCTGAGCTGCCTCTCCAGCCCCTGAATGTTATAGGGTGCCAGCATGGCTTGGCAGAGCCCTGGTATGGGGCCTGGCCCATGGAGAGGCAATCAAAGAGTTGGACCCACAGAGAAGCTGGGGATGAGGGCAAGGCCGGGGAGGCTGCCCAGGGCCAGGGCCTGCAGTACCCAGGGAAATGACAGAAGGGTTGGTGTAGATGGGAGCCCGTGGGGCCCTTCACCTCCTGGTAAACAGGACGTGGGGAAGAGGGGAGGCCTCTAGGAAGGAAGCCAGGGTAAGGAGTAGGCTGTTGCCAGGGTGATTCAGGCAGCATCACCCACCACTGCCCACCTAGCCTGTCGACCTGGGGCAGTCACGTGGAACAGAGAAGGCCAGAGTGGGGGGTAGGGGTGGAGGCGGGTGGTGGCTGTAGGTAGGCGATCGGGGACTGGCATCTAGGCAGGAGGGAGACACACCTGCAGGTACAGGTGACTCTGAACCCTCTCCTGATGGTTCTGTGGGCCTCAGCACCTCCAGTCCCATCCCTCTGGGCGACTGCTGCCCATGCCTCGGTGCTGCCCAGCAAAGGATGAGTGTTGGGGGTGGCCAGCTCTGCATTCAAGGGCTCAGGTTTCCAGGGTAGCTCAACATGGAGCCTGGCAGATCTGGTAACCGGACTCCCCCTTCCCTACTGCCACCGGCTGTCCAGAGGCTCCACTTGGCCTCAGCCTTTAGCCCCAGAGAGACAGGGTGTGGGAGGGTGGGAGCTAGTCTCCTGGGTAAGAGCTGCATCAGGGAAGATCTACCTGGCTCCCTGCTCCTTAAACCTTTCCCTCCTGCCCAGGTCCACCCCTTCCTCTTCCCTGGGCACTTGGCACTTAGACCTTTGCTTCTGCTTCACAAAGGGGTGTGCCCTGAGGCGACTGAACTTTGCCTGATTATGACCTTGATCATGCACAGGGCTGCTGGTGGGGCGAAGCCATCCCAGGGAACTCTAGGGTCTGTGGATCCACCAGGGATCAAGGAATGGAAGAGCTGCCTGGGGGTAGGGGGAATTCTGTCAGGCTTCTGAAACTTAAGAGACTTGGAAATTTAAGGCCTTATAGACCACATAGGTTTTCAGAGGCTCGCCTGGCAGAGGCCTTGAGCACACTGCTGCATAGACTACGGGCACTGAGCCCCCAGGAGGTTGTTCGTCTCATTCTTGCTCACTGGTCCCTGCCAGAACAGTGGAGCCAGGGCCTATCCACCTACGGCCCTCATGCCTGGACCCAGCTGAAGGTTCTGACATGGGTCCTCCTGGGGTGGCATGCGGACCCTTCAAGGTGGCCCAGGTGCAGCACAGGTCTCCAGAGACATAGGCACCAGGGCATTCAGAGCGAGTCCCCTCGCTGCTGTTGACTGTCCTTGAGCAGCCCGGGGGCTGGTTTCTCAGCCTCATTTGCTCATCCGAGGTGAGGTGGGCTCCTGGAACTGCAGCCGCCACTCCCTGGGTCCATTGTGAGGCTAAGAATCCAGTATAGGGTTAGCAACCAGCAACCACCACAAGGACAGTGAATAACAAGCACCAGGACCTTGGGTATCCCACGCCCTGGAAGGAGCTGCAAAAAGCAGGAGTGGGCACTGGAGGCCAACGGACAGAGAGGAATCAGTCTGAGGCTGTTCCAGCCCTTGTTTAGGATTGCCCTGCCTATGTCTGCAAATCGTCCTCCCACTTCAGATGCCTCTTTAGGGGATAGAAAAGTAAGGGAGAAGGCCGGGCGCGGTGGCTCACGCCTGTAATCCCAGCACTTTGGGAGGCCGAGGCGGGTGGATCACAAGGTCAAGAGATCGAGACCATCCTGGTCAACATGGTGAAACCCCGTCTCTACTAAAAATACAAAAATTAGCTGGGCATGGTGGCGCGTGCCTGTAATCCCAGCTACTCAGGAGGCTGAGGCAGGAGAATTGCCTGAACCCAGGAGGCGGAGGTTGCGGTGAGCCGAGATCGCGCCATTGCACTCCAGCCTGGGTAGCAAGAGCGAAACTCCGTCTCAAAAACAAAAAAAAAAGAAAAGTAAGGGAGAGCACGAGAAGAGGATTAATCCCCCGGTTTTCTCACCACAAGCATAAGTGTCAGTGTGACTTTAGAGTGACCACAGCTAGCTCACGTGTGGCGGGCACGGGAATAGACGTAAATGAGCTGTTACACAGATGGGCACCCAGATGTGTGCCCTGGCACACCCAAGGCGCCTGTAGAGCAGCTCTAGACTGCCCCCTTGTGACGGCTTGCATACGACCTGCAGGCGACGTCGTGGACGTTTACCAGCGGGAGTTTCTGGCACTGCGGGATCGGTTGCACGCAGCTGAGCAGGAGAGCCTCAGGCGCTCCAAGGAGCTCAACCTGGTGCTGGATGAAATCAAGAGGGCCGTTTCGGAGAGGCAGGCCCTGCGAGAGGGAGAGGGCAATCGCACCTGGGGCCACCTAACAGGTGAGGTCTGGGACGGGAAGGGGAAAGGGCGGGGGGCCGGGTGGTTGTAGGCTGCCTGGTCTCAGTCCCTGTCCTTCCTGACCCACCCAGAGGACCCCCGATTGAAGCCGTGGAACGGCTCGCACCGGCAGGTGCTGCACCTGCCCACTGTCTTCCACCACCTACCACACCTGCTGGCCAAGGAGAGCAGTCTGCAGCCCGCCGTGCGCGTGGGCCAGGGCCGCACCGGAGGTAGGGGCGTGGGCGGGAAGGAGAGCAGGGTGGGAGCGAGGTGTCCCCCCCCCAGTGTCCTTTCCAGCGTCACACCTCTGTCCCCCGTAGTGTCAGTGGTGATGGGCATCCCGAGCGTGCGGCGCGAGGTGCACTCGTACCTGACTGACACTCTGCACTCACTCATCTCCGAGCTGAGCCCACAGGAGAAGGAGGACTCGGTCATTGTGGTGCTGATTGCTGAGGTGAGCGAGCCTGGTTGCAGGGTTGGGGGACGTTCAGAGGAGCCCCTGTGGTGCAGGAGAAATGACAGCAGGAGCCATTCCAGAGCAGAAAGCTGTCGGAAGTTCAGTTGCTAGTTGCATTGGCCAATGTTCCAAGATAGAAAGTTTAAAAGAAAGGGCTTTCTGGTGCTCTCCCACCCCTAGGCCTGTTACCCAGCTCTCCCCGCCAGTGGCCCTGCATGTCCCAAAGGGAAAGGGCTGTCTGTAGGGGCCCCCTTCTTCTGCCCTCAGCACAGCAGGCTTGCTCCCTCCATATGAGTGGGGGGATATCTGAAGTCTGCGCCCTTTCTCCGAGCCCTTCTTCCAGGCCTATTGGGGCAGCAGCAGGGCTAAGGGAGGGTGCTTGGTCTCCCCACAGACTGACCCACAGTACACTTCGGCAGTGACAGAGAATATCAAGGCCTTGTGAGTACTGGCAGCCCCAGAGAGCTAGTGGCGGGAGGGCTCTTTAAGGGGTGTTGTTCTGGCAGGTTCCTGCTTCCCCAGAAGATAGTGCCTTCCCTATCTTGTGGGGAGGCAAGGACCTGGTGGGGGAGAGGGTGGGTGTGCAGAAGTGGCCCAGCCCTCTGGAGCCCCGCTGCCTCAGTTGGCTGGGTGTGGGGGATGGTGGGGGGCTGGCAATGGGTGAGTCTCAAAAAATGGGCCAGGGTCTGGTGGACTCAGCCCCCCTCGGCCTCTGGAGGCTGCATATGGACTGGGCCTTCCCACCCCCCAGGTTCCCCACCGAGATCCATTCCGGGCTCCTGGAGGTCATCTCGCCCTCTCCCCACTTCTACCCTGACTTCTCCCGCCTCCGAGAGTCCTTTGGGGACCCCAAGGAGAGAGTCAGGTACTGGCACTCCCCCATACCCCCAGCAACCTGCCCACCTGTGCTGAGAACCCATCTACCGGTGTCTGAGTCCAGGGCGTTGCCCTGCAGTGCCCTGAATTCTCCACGGGATGACCCGTGCATGGGGGTGGGGGGACAAGGGCTGCCCACCCAGTGGCTTCTCTGCGAGCCACCCTGGAGGTGGAGGGGTCTCGGCTCCTGAGGCCCCGCCCCGGCCCGCAGGTGGAGGACCAAACAGAACCTCGATTACTGCTTCCTCATGATGTACGCGCAGTCCAAAGGCATCTACTACGTGCAGGTCAGCCCCGACCCCTGCGCTGCCCTCCCCTGCTCTGCGTCTGCTCCATCTGGGTACCCCTTCTGAGTCACAGCCCCTCTCTGCTCACCCTGCAGCTGGAGGACGACATTGTGGCCAAGCCCAACTACCTGAGCACCATGAAGAACTTCGCACTGCAGCAGCCTTCAGAGGACTGGATGATCCTGGAGTTCTCCCAGCTGGGCTTCATTGGTGCGCCCCCTCCCCTAACCTGACTGTGCCTTTCTGTCCCTCCTGCCTCTGCCATCCTCTCTCCCAGTCCCACACTGTGTCTGCTCTGAGCCTTTGCCCAGATTGGGCCCTGCCTGGTGTGTGTGCGCCACAGCCCCACCTGGCCTGTTCGCATTGCCTGTGCACTGGGCATGTCTGGCGTCCCCACCTGTTGTCTCCTTGTGCCCACACCTGCCTGAAGCCTGCCCCTGGGTTTGCTGTGGGACTCTCCAGGGTGAGGGGGGAGCGGCCCTGCAGGGAGTAAGAGGAAGTCCAGCGGAGCAGCACTGCCCACTCAGGTCCCCTCCCCCCCAGGGAAGATGTTCAAGTCGCTAGACCTGAGCCTGATTGTAGAGTTCATCCTTATGTTCTACCGGGACAAGCCCATCGACTGGCTCCTGGACCATATTCTGTGGGTGAAAGTCTGCAACCCCGAGAAGGATGCGGTGAGCAAGGGGTGGTGGGACTGGCGGGGCAAGGCCAATGGGCAGGCAGCCTCCAGCACAGACTGTGTCCCTGCCCTGTCTGATCACCTAGAGAGGGCACTGTCAGCTGTGGGAGGGCCTTGGTGTCCCCCAGGAGAGGCCATGTTGGGTAAGGAGGGCTAAGCCAAGCCCTGGGGTGTCTCTCACCCTCCGCAGAAGCACTGTGACCGGCAGAAGGCCAACCTGCGGATCCGCTTCAAGCCGTCCCTCTTTCAGCACGTGGGTACTCACTCCTCACTGGCTGGCAAGATCCAGAAACTGAAGGTGGGCTGTGCTGCATGCTCCCCCTAGGCCAGGGTCCGGGGTGGGGCCCACGCCATCACTGCTGTCCCTCCACTGATGCAGGACAAGGACTTTGGAAAGCAGGCACTGCGGAAGGAACATGTGAACCCCCCGGCAGAGGTGAGCACGAGCCTGAAGACGTACCAGCACTTCACCCTGGAGAAAGCCTACCTGCGCGAAGACTTCTTCTGGGCCTTTACCCCCGCCGCCGGGGACTTCATCCGCTTCCGCTTCTTCCAGCCCCTGCGACTGGAGCGGTCAGTGCCAGCACCGTGGGTCTGCAATGGGGGTGGGGCTGGGTGGCCACCAGGGTTTAGGCTCTACCAGCAAATTACTTATCCTCCCATTCTTCAGTTTCCTCATCTGAAAAGTGGGCCTCCTAACGGTAGCGACCTTGTCAGGACTAAGTTAGGCAGCCCCTAGGAGCTCAGGGGTGTTTCCTGTCACCGTCCTCCCAGAGGAAGGCCCTAGTCACCTCGCACAGCCTGACAGCCACCTGGGAGTGCCCCTGGCGCAGGCCTGGCCCTTCTTTGCTGGGCCCTGGGTGCTGTGCTAGAGAGCTGCCTCTGCAGCAGCTCACAGGCCTGCCTGGCTGCAGGTTTTTCTTCCGCAGTGGGAACATTGAGCACCCAGAGGACAAGCTCTTCAACACGTCTGTGGAGGTGCTGCCCTTTGATGTAAGTGTGGTAGGGTATGGTGTGCACTGAGGCCAGGCCTCCCAAGGCTACCTGTTTCAGCCCTTGATTCTGCCCCCAGAACCCTCAGTCGGACAAGGAGGCCCTGCAGGAGGGCCGCGCCGCCACCCTCCGGTACCCTCGGAGCCCCGATGGCTACCTCCAGATTGGTGGGTAGGGGCTGGGGGAGAGGGTGGGCTGGGGTTCAGGGACACCCTCTCAGCACTGCCCTCCCTCAGGCTCCTTCTACAAGGGAGTGGCAGAGGGAGAGGTGGACCCAGCCTTCGGCCCTCTGGAAGCTCTGCGCCTCTCCATCCAGACGGACTCCCCTGTATGGGTGATTCTGAGCGAGGTGAGGCTGGGCAGGGCCAGGCCAGGCATGGGAAGCAGTGAGGGAGACCTTGGCGGAGTTCAGAGGCCCTGCTGACCCTGGGCCTGGCTCTTCCAGATCTTCCTGAAAAAGGCCGACTAAGCCAAGGGCTTCTGAGGGTACCCTGTGGCCAGCCCTGAAGCCCATGTTTCTGGGGGATGTCATCACTGCCGTCCCCGGAGGGTCAGATATGGCCCTGCCTGAAGGGTTCTGCCCGGCGCCAGGCTCGGGCCGGCCTGGGGTCCGCCGCTGGCCCGGAGGCCCCAGGAGCTGGTGCTGTCCCCGCCCGCCGGGCCGCAGAGAAGGCAGGCGGCCCCCACACTGTGCCTGAGGCCTGGAACCGTTTGCACCGGCCTGCCCCAGCCAGGTCGTTTTAGAAGAGCTTTTTCTTGGGCGCCTGCTGTCTCTGGCGCGAACACTGGAATGCATATACTACTTTATGTGCTGTGTTTTTTATTCTTGGATACATTTGATTTTTTCACGTAAGTCCACATATACTTCTATAAGCGTGACTTGTAATAAAGAGTTAATGAAGCGTGTGCCTCAAATGTGAGCTCCCTGGACATCTCCTCTACCCCTGCGTTTGGCTTCAGATGTCTGGTCTGTGCCCCAACATGCCAGCTAAGCCTGGCACTGGGCCTCCCCACCCAGCACCAACTGCGACCTCTCCCTGCTAAGCAAAGGAGCCAGCCTGACCTGACAGCGTGGGGCCCACCCAGCACCTGGCTGTGCAGCTGCAGTACCACCTCACCCCCATTTCTAGGATCAGGCTGCAAAGTCGGTAATTCACGAGTGAAACCAGCCCAGAATGCTGGACTACGATGCCGATGCAAGTCCCCCAGATGCCTCCTCCCCCATGCAAGGCCTGGGATAAGGCATTCCCTTAGTGCCTCAAGCTGAAGGCATTTCCCAGTCTCCTTGTTCCCCTATGTGTCTCAGCTTGGTCCTCATCCTGGGTCCCCAACAGTCTCTGTGGCACATGTTAGGGTCTCCCACTCACCTCAGGGCCTTTGCACACACCACTGCCCCTGCTTGGAAGGCTCACCTTTTCTCCTGTAGGCTTGGCTAAAAAATCACTTCTTTGTTTCGGTGGGCCTCCCCTGGGTCCCCAAGGCTTCTGGACATTTCCTTGAGAGCACCTGTCACTATGTTCCCTTGGTGCCCGCAGCTCTGCGGAGCTGGGAGGGCTGCCCTGAACACGTACAGTTAACGCGGGGAACCCAGTGCTGACCAAAAGGAAAAGGCCTTTATCCTCACCTGGGGAGGGACCCACAAGCTCTAGTGTCGGCTGTGAAGGCCAGGGGACGAGGGCTGGGTGGCCGAGCGTCAGGAGAGGGGGGACCGGTGAGGACAGCGCTGAGAAGGTTGGAATGGTCGGCCCCGAGGCTGAGTAGGGAGCAGGGGTGGGAAGTTAAGAGCGGACTCAGTCCCGCCCCAAAGGGAGGTCCCGTTCCTCCGCAGTCCCTCCCACGCCGCCTCTAGGAAGAACGTCGGGATGCCCCGGCCGTGGGCTGAGCCGCTCCAGGCTTCCCCGCAGTGCGCCGCCCCCGCACACTCAGAGAACGCAGCCTGGCTGGGTCATGAGAACTTTAATGAGAGACTAGGAAGCGGAGGCGAGCGCCCCTCCCGGGGTAGCTGGAGGCTCCGGCTCTTCTTCCCAGGCTCCGGCGGCCCTGGTCTCAGTCCCACGGCAGCAGCGTCCGGAGCCGTCCGAGGAGCGCGGCGCGGAGCGCCGCCGGGAGGAAGTGGGAGAGCAGGCCGAGCGCAGCCAGCGCCACCAGCAGCCAGAGGGCGCGCGCGCTCGCGTACAGCGGGCCCAGCCTGCGGGCGGCGGCAGCGGGGCGGTGGCGCGAGGAGGCCCCGCCTCTTGACCGCCCCAACCCCGGCCCCACGGGGACTTAGGCCGGCCGCCGCCAGGGCTCGCCCGCCGAATCCCCAAAGGCGGTGGCCCCCGGCCCGGAGCCCACCCTCAGCTGGGGCCCCGCTCCCCGGGAGCCCCGCCTACCCGCGGTCTTTCCCCGGCCCCGCCCCGCTCGCCCCGGGCCCTCACCTGAGCTGCGCGGAGCGCGCGTAGCCCTGGAAGTAGCGGAGGCGCGCGAACAGGTAGATCAGGCCGCACAGGGCCGCCGCCCCTGCGAGAGATGCGCGCAGGCCTGGTTAGCGCGCTGCGCGGGCCCGAGGCTCCAGCGCGTGCGCCCCTGCCCCAGACCCCGACCTTCGTGAAAGAAGATGCCGGCGACCCAAAGCGTGGCGAGGAACAGCGGGAAGTACTCGCTGCAGTTCACCCTGCGGTGGGTGGGTGGGTGGGATGAGCGCCCTGGCCAGGCTGGTCCTGCGACCTGGACCCGTCCAGGGCTCGCTCCCCGCCCCGCGCCGTCCCTCTGCGCCTCACTGGGCTCGGTAGACGCGTTCGAACTCGGGCGGGCCGGTGGTGAGCGGCGGCGACACGCGGAAGGCCCTGCGCGCCGAGATCACCTGTAGAGAGAAGTAGGCTGGGGGCGGAGGGGGAGCAGGAGTCAGGTCTGGACATCCGGAGATGGGGGTGGAAGGGAGCCTGCAGTCCGGCCCTGCACTTGGCCGTGTCCTCCCTTCCCGAAGGCGGAACAGCCACCCGCTCTCTCCCGAGGAGATCTCCCGTCTGACCCATCCCTGACCTGCCTTGTGTCCCTGACTTTCAGCCGGAAGGGCAGAGCTGAAGCCTGGGGCGCAGAGAGGCTGTGAGGGTATGGGGGAGGATGGGTGGTGCGGGCACTGGGACACCTGCTGGCGAGAGAGCCCACTTGAGTCTTTGTTTCTGAATCATTTCACTCGCAAAACACAGGCAAATGCAGCTTTCAGGTCCCTGGCCAGGAAGTGCCTCTGGGGCCTGATTGCCCAACTGGCTGTGTCCTCCCAAGGTGCAAGGAAGCACAGTCCCTGTGGCTAACAGTCCCTGGTCACCCACCTACCAGAGCCCACCAGCAGGGCCCTGTGACCCTGCCTCAGTCCAGGATCACTGAAGCCTGGGTCCCTGTGCTTCCGAACCTCACTTTCTCTATTCCTGCATTCTGGTCCCAGGCCTAACAGACACCCTCTCTTCTGCTGCCAGGAGGTTGCAGCTGGGACTCTCCTAGCCTAACCTCAGGACCCCAGGCCTGGGGTAGGTGCAGAGGACTGGGCCGGCCCTCGGTGGGAGGCCTAGCTTGGTGGATCACTTGAACAGGAGCCTTCCCTTTGGTCGGAATGCCAGGCCAGACCACACACAGACCAGTGGTGGCTGTGCACTCCCTCCCGCAACCTGCTGTCTGACCATCTCCTCTTGAGGGCTGGCACCTTTGGTGCTGGGCCCCCTGCAGATGGGTGTCACAGGATGGCCATCCAGCTCAGTGCAGGTACAGCTGGAGGTCAGGCTGGCCTGTCTGTTCGGCCCCTTCAGAGCCCCCTCCCTTGGCTTTGCCTTATCCTAGCCCACGCACTGCGGGGCAGTGCTGTCCCTACGTGGCAAGGATATCTGGTCCAGGAATGTGTCCTCTAGAGCCAGGCTGAGAAAGGCATCAAGCAGCTTCCTTTTAGGGCGCTGGAGGAAGGAGTCCCACCCCTGCCCTGCTCCACGTGGTCCCAGTATGGAGGTGCCTTTGAAGCAGGGCCAGGGAATGGGAGCTGCTTTCTTGGATGCCCAGAGAGGGGACAGCTAGAAAGAGCAGGGATCGGCCGGGCGCGGTGGCTCAAGCCTGTAATCCCAGCACTTTGGGAGACCGAGGCGGGTGGATCACGAGGTCGAGAGATCGAGACCATCCTGGTCAACATGGTGAAACCCCGTCTCTACTAAAAATACAAAAAACTAGCTGGGCATGGTGGCACGTGCCTGTAATCCCAGCTACTCAGGAGGCTGAGGCAGGAGAATTGCCTGAGCCCAGGAGGCAGAGGTTGCAGTGAGCCGAGATCGCGCCATTGCACTCCAGCCTGGGTAACAAGAGCGAAACTTCGTTTCAGAAAAAAAAGAAAGAAAGAAAGAGCAGGGATCAACGTCCCCAAGCCCTTGGCTATCCCACTACTTGTCCTGGCACCCTTTCACCCCCAAGTCCTACAGCTCTCACAGCTGAGTGTCCCCCACATCCCCAAAAGTCCCCACCCTCCTCCAGCTTGGGCCTGGGCTGTAGTCCCCACCTCTGCCCTCCCCCTGGGCCTAGGGGGCAGAGGGCAGGCTTCAGGGATCTGAGGCCCACCCTCTTCCTAGATAGGAGCCAGCCCACCTTGCAGCAGGACTCCCAGGAGGGTGACGGTGGCCAGAAGAGCCACCTCATCTTTCATGGTGCTGGTGGCTGCAGTGGAACAGGCCGTGTGTAAAGGCGAGCTAGGAAGCGCTTAGCCTCAACTGCTGCTCAGAGATCGGCCCAGAACAGGAAGAGCAGCCTGGGTATCTCCCCGCCCCGTCTCAGTGGAGGGGGTGCGTGGGGCATGACCATACCACAGGGAGCCAGGCCAGGCCGGCAGGGAGGAAACCAAAGCCTGAGCAGGGGACAGCAGCCAGCTGGGGACCGCCTCACCATTTCCTGCCCCTTCCTTGCCTAGCCCCATGTGGCAGAGCCCAAGCTGTCCATCTGGGTGGGTTCCAGCTGTGGGTGTGCCCCTGCTGCATTGCCCCCCTTTCTCCAGGCCCTGCGGACCCCCGTGTTATGCTGGAGCCAGTCCCAGGCTCAGGGCTGACTCCCCCACCCACCTTATCTGTTTCCTGCCCTGAGCCAGGCTGTTCCTGGCAACCCCCGCTGCATCCTCCTCTGCAGAAGCCCTTCCCAGCTACCTTTGCCTTTAGAATAGAGTCCAAGTGAACCCCAGCCACACTGGGCCTCACCAAGCTTTTTCTCCTTCAGGAATCCTGATGGCTGCCAGCCTCAGTTGGTCGCAGGGGCTCCTCTCCCAGGCCTATCCTGTGCTTCTAGTCCCACACAGTCACCTGCTGTGTCTTTCTGCCCTAAAGCCCTCTTGCCTCAGGGTAACAACCCGAGGCTGCCTTCATAAGACCGCAGCCCTCCCCACACATAGGCTCTGTGTCTAGACAGGCTGACTCCTGCCCCTTCCAGGCCTGTGAGACACTGAGCCAAGGCTGAGACACAGTTCTGGAAACTTCCTTAGAACTTTGGGTCAGGACTTCTAAGATGTGGAGATCACTGGTGTGAGCAGGAAAAAAAAAAAAAAAGAACTTTGGGATGGGAAACTCGGAGTGAGGAGGGGGACTACCGTGGGCCACCCTGAGGAGGACGGAGCCCACCCAGGGTCAGGCTGAGAGGAGAGGCAGCCCCTGAGGACTGTGTCTCTTGGACCCCCCCAGGCCACCCACCTGACCCCACCTGGAGCCTCCCGGCCAGCCCCTCACCCCACCTGGACCCCCAGGCCACACACCTCACCCCACCTGGAACACCCCCGGCCACCTTCCTCACCCCACCTGGAGCCCCCAGCCATCCACCTTGCCCCGCCTGGAGCCCCCAGCCACCCACCTCGCCCCACCTGGAACCCCCCCCCCCCCAACAAGCTTTCCCAGTTGTGCCTAATGGCCACTTCCTCTTTTGGCTTGGGCAGGTTTGCGGTGGGTGTTGGGCAGAAGTGGCAAAGCCCAGATTGACCAGAGGCACAGGCAGGAGCTGGGGGAGCCCACATGCGGGCACTGGCCGTGCTGCGGGGGTCTGGCCACGTGGCTCTGCCCTTGCACCTGGTCCTTCCTTGCTGCCCCAAGCCCAGCCCCAGCCTGAGGCTCAGAACCTGCCTGGCTCTCCCAGCATCCCTCCTTCCCTGATCATTGGCCTGCCCCTGGAAATCAGATACGCCCCAGCTAGGGCCTCTGTGAGCTCCAGGGCAGGGGGCAGGGCTCAGGCCGGGCCCCTGCTTCAGACCAAGGTGTGACAGTCTTCTTGGGGCTCGATGGAGGAGTGCCTCCTAGATGCATGGACACAGAGACGCAGTGCCAGGGAGTCATGGTGGCTGCATCCTCAGGCTCTCCCCACTCAGCCTCCCTCCCCGGAACCTGCCCTGACCACAGGCCCCCTGCTCTGCCTCGTGGGGCCTGCCTGAAGGGTGGGATGCAGGCCACCACGCAGGAGTTGACATTGGTGCCAGTGGGCTGTGCCCAGTGTGTCTGTGTGCACCATACATACTGATGTGCATGCTCCTTGGTCGCCTGTCACACATCCATGTGTCTTTGCATGAGTCCAGGCCCTCCTCTGGGCCGAGCTCTCATTTCCTCCAAGGCCTGAATGTCCTCCCGTCGGAGTTCATCTCCTTGGCCTGCAGCAGGAAGCCAAAGCCTGACATCAGCAGCTTCTGAGGAAGTTCCTGGGCAGATGTGCAGGGCAGGAACCTGGGTCTTGGCCCCGGGAGCCCTCCCCGGGTCTGTTGGTCCCCACCTCCCTCCCTGTGAGCCCACCCAGGCTGTCAGGGCCCTGTCTAGGCTCAAGCCAACTCAGACTGACAGAAGGGCCAGCCAAGCCCCGACCCTGGCTCAGTCCACCCAGCCACCATACTCCCGTCTAGCTCTGGAGGCACCAGCATCAGGATGGAAGTGAAAGGTCCTCCCTGAAGAGCCTTTGATGCCCACTCGCCAGGACCTCTGGGAGGCAGAAAGGCCTGCGTAAGCACAGCACAGAAAATAAATCAGAACTTCTGTGCAGTGGATCATAAGCAGTGCACGACTAGGACCCTGAGATTGAAAAACAAAATTTATTTAGAAATTATTTTAGGCCGGGCGCAGTGGCTCAAGCCTGTAATCCCAGCCCTTTGGGAGGCCGAGGCGGGTGGATCACGAGATCAAGAGATCGAGACCATCCTGGTCAACAAGGTGAAACCCCGTCTCTACTAAAAATACAAAAAAATTAGCTGGGCATGGTGGCGCGTGCCTGTAGTCCCAGCTACTCAGGAGGCTGAGGCAGGAGAATTGCCTGAACCCAGGAGGCGGAGGTTGCAGTGAGCTGAGATCGTGCCATTGCACTCCAGCCTGGGTAACAAGAGCGAAACTCCGTCTCAGAAAAAAGAAAAAGAAAAGAAGAAAAAAAAAATTATTTTACATTTGAGACAGGATTGTGCTCTGTTGCCTGGGCTAGAGTGCAGTGGCTCCACATACCTCACCACATCCTCCAACTCCTGGGCTCAAGCAATCCTCCCACCTCAGCCTCCCAAGTAGCTGGGACCACAGGCACTAATTTTTTTTTTTTTTTTTTCAGAGACAGTCTTGCTACGTTAGCCAGGATGGTCTCAAACTCCTGGGCTCATGTGATCCTCTGCCTTAGCCTCCCAAAGTGCTGGGATTATAGGCATGAGTCACCATGATTGGCTGAAATTATTTTAGATTTACAAAAAATCTGCAAAAATCTACAGTCTCGGCCAGGAATGGTGGCTCACACCTGTAATTCCAACACTTTGGAAGGCTGAGGTGAGCAGATGACCTAAGGTCAGGGACTCGAGACCAGCCTGACCAACACAGTGAAACCCCATCTCTCCTAAAAATATAAAAATTAGCTGGGTGTGGTGGCAGGTGCCTGTAATCCCAGCCACTCAGGAGGCTGAGGGAGGAGAATTGCTCGAATTTAGGAGGCAGAAGATGCAGTGAGCTGAGGTCATGCCTGGCGACAGAGGGAGACTCTGTCTCAAAAACAAACAAACAAAAAACCAAAATCTTGTATAACCATAATTCAGTTATATAAACCAAGAGATTTCCATTGATACCAGTTACTAGTCAAACATTTTACAGGTCGTACTCAAGTTTCACCAACCGTCCCACTGGAATAATACAAAGACCTCAAAAACTTTATGCTGAATTGTGCCAGGCTGGGCACAGTGGCTCACGCCTGTAATCCCAGCACTTTGGGAGGCTGAGGTGGGTAGATCACCTGAGGTCAGAAGTTCAAGACCAGCCTGGTCAACATGGTGAAAGCTCGTTTCTACTAAAAATATAAAAATTAGCCGGGCATGGTGGCAGGTTCCTGTAAACTCCGTTTCTTAGGAGGCTGAGGCAGGAGAATCGCTTGAACCTGAGAAACAGAAGTTGCAGTGAGCCAAGACCATACCATTGCACTCCAGCCCGGGCAACAGGCTAAAAAAAAAAAAAAAAAAAAAAAATTAGTTGATTATCTATATATATATATAACATTTATATTTTATTATTTTATTTTATTTTATTTTATTTTTATTTTTTTATTTTATTTTATTTTTTTGAGACAGAGTCTCACTCTGTCACCCAGGCTGGAGTGCAATGGCGCGATCTCGGCTCACTGTAACCTCCACCTCCCAGGTTCAAGCAATTCTCCTGCCTCAGCCTCCTGAGTAGCTGGGATTACAGGCGCGTACCACTGCGCCCAGCTAATTTTTGTACTTTTAGTAGAGACAAGGTTTCAACATTTTGGCCAGGCTGGTCTCGAACTCCTGACCTTGTCATCCGCCCGCCTCAGCTTCCCCAAGTGCTGGGATTACAGGCGTTAGCCACCGCGCCCGGCCCTATTTTATTTTATTTTATTTTATTTTATTTTATTTTTTGAGACGGAGTTTCGCTCTTGTTACCCAGGCTGGAGTGCAATGGCGCGATCTCGGCTCACTGCAATCTCCGCCTCCTGGGTTCAGGCAATTCTTCTGCCTCAGCCTCCTGAGTAGCTGGGATTATAGGCAGGAGCCACCATGCCCAGCTAATTTTTTGTATTTTTAGTATAGACGGGGTTTCACCTTGTTGACCAGGATGGTCTCGATCTCTCGACCTCGTGATCCACCCACCTCAGCCTCCCAAAGTGCTGGGATTACAGGCTTGAGCCACCGCGCCCGGCCTTTTATTTTATTTTATTTTTATTATTATTATTTTTTTTTTTGAGACGGAGTTTCGCTCTTGTTACCCAGGCTGGAGTGCAATGGCGCGATCTCGGCTCACCGCAACCTCCGCCTCCTGGGCTCAGGCAATTCTCCTGCCTCAGCCTCCTGAGTAGCTGGGATTACAGGCCTGCGCCACCATGCCCAGCTAGTTTTTGTATTTTTAGTAGAGACGGGGTTTCACCGTGTTGACCAGGATGGTATCGATCTCATGACCTCGTGATCCACCCGCCTCGGCCTCCCAAAGTGCTGGGATTATAGGCGTGAGCCACCGCGCCCGGCCTTATTTTATTTTTAAGACAGTCTTGCTGTGTCGCCCAGGCTGAAGTGCAATGGTGTGATCTTGGCTCACTGCAACCTCCACCTCCCGGGTTCAAGCGATTCTTATGCCTCGGCCTCCCGACAAATAGTCTATTCTTTCACCAATACCACAATGCCCTCCCTCTGCCCCCAGAGATAATGCTGGACCACAATGTCTTAATTACTGTTTCTTTATAGTAAGTCCTGGAGCTGGGTGGTGTCAGTCCTTTAAGGTTGTTTTTCTCCAATGTTGTTGGCTACTCTGGGTCTTTTGACTTTTTATATAAACTTTAGAATCAGTTTGTCAATATCCACAAAATAACCTGCAGGGATTTTGGATGGGGTGACATTTGACTCTATAGATCAAATTGGGAAAACTGACATCTTTACAATACTTAGTCTTTCCGGGCTGGGTGTGGTGGCTAGTGCCTGTAATTCCAGCCTGGGTAACAAGAGCGAAACTCCGTCTCAAAAAAAAAAATAATAATAATAAAATAAAATAAAATAAAATGAGGAAACTGAGGCCTGCATGAGAACAATTAGACGCCAATTTATCTGGCTCCCAGGCGAGGTCCTACCGTCCAGGGAAAGGAGGCCAGAGAAGTCACGCCTGACTTCGCTCAGGCCTGGGGTTATATAGGGAGGGAAGGCGCTCTGATAGGCTGTGGAGAACAGGATGTGGACGTGGCAAGCTGCTATAGGTAGGTAGGCGGGATTTCCGGTGAGCCGGCTGGATGGGGCCATATGCTATTGGTCAGGTTTTGGCGGGGCTTCTTTTAAATTTTGGCGGGGTTTTCCAACGGCTGGCTAGCTGCCGAGTGCAGAGTTTAGTGTGGAGTGCAGAGGTGGGCGTGGGGAAGCCAGATTCTGGTGACGTAATTTCAGGCGTGGAGAGGGATGGGCACCTCCGAGCCCCACCCCCCAGCCCCCCAGAGAGGCAACTGGCCTTAAAACTACCAATCGCCTGCTGTTGACGGAAAGCCTTACAGATAACATGAACAGTCCACGAACCCTATTTTGTATGTTTAGTGTGCTATTACAGTTATAATACTGTAAGTGTTCTTACAATACAGTAAGCTAGCGAAACTAAAATGTTAAGAAAATCATAAAATAGGCCGGGCGCGGTGGCTCAAGCCTGTAATCCCAGCACTTCGGGAGGCTGAGGCGTGTGGATCACGAGGTCAAGAGATCGAGACCATCCTGGTCAACACGGTGAAACCCCGTCTCTACTAAAAATACAAAAATTTAGCTGGGCATGGTGGCACGTGCCTGTAATCCCAGCTACTCGGGAGGCTGAGGCAGGAGAATTGCCTGAACCCAGGAGGTGGAGGCTGCGGTGAGCCGAGATCGTGCCATTGCACTCCAGCCTGGGTAACAAGAGCGAAACTCCATCTCAAAAACAAAGAAAAAAAAGAAAAGAGAATCATAAAATACATTTCTAGTACTGTACTATATCGATGCCGTAAGTTTATGCCATCCATTTACAAGACGAATCGTCTGTGTGAAAGGGTGGCACCCGCAGCTGCAGACCTCAAACTACAATACATATCAAGCAACTTAAATTTTTTTTTTATTGTCATGACTTTTCTCTGCTTCTTGGGAGCACTTCCAGCATTTAAAAAAAAAAAAAAAGTTTTTTGTTAAGCAGTTTTAATCTAGTTAATGGTAAGCAAAGTGCAATGCCATGAAAAGCCCTGTATTTTGCATGTTTAAACTGTTTTTCATTCTTTGCTTGTCAGGTTTTCAAGATGGGACCTGTTCCTGAATCTTCTTTCTAGTGGTAGAAAATGGTACATATTGGCCGGGCACGGTGGCTCACGCCTGTAATCCCAACACTTTGGGAGGCCAAGGCAGGTGGATCACCTGAGGTCAGGAGTTCCAGACCAGCCCTGCCAACACAGTGAAACCCGCACCTCTACTAAAAATACAAAAATTAGCTAGGCATGGTGGCACGCACCTATAGTCCCAGCTACTCGGGAGGCTGAGGCAGGAGAATCATTTGAACCCAGGAGGCGGAGGTTGCGGTGAGCCGAGATCGCACCACTGCACTCCAGCCTGGGTGACAGAGTGAGACTCCATCTAAAAAAAAAAAAAAAAGAAAAGAAAATGGCACATATTGTTCTGG